TTTTCCCTCCCGGATTCTTTTTAATTAGTTGATCCTTAAATCAATTTTGTGATTGAAATTCATCGAAAGCCTAAAAATCTAATATCGACCAAATTAATATATTTTCCTTTAAAAACTTTAGACTTATATTTATATGATACGTAGGTATATTGTAAACTAATTATTTTAAATTCGTATAGACAATCTTATACACCTAATCGAGATTGGAACTATCCCCACGGAATATGAATATTAATTTTTGAAATCAAACGAGTCCCCTCGCACAAATTTTTCATTTCTGTATAACGAGTAATTCTTTGATCTGAGCAATTTCATTAACATCTTTTACATACGTGTTTCAAACATCGTCGTTCCAATATATTTCCTCACGAATTGTTCAAAAGTTCCATGCATATTTGTCAGGATTAAACGATAAAAAAAAAAGCCTGAGTTTAACATCTATAGGCATTGTTTCCAAACGAGGACAAGCAGTTATTTAAAAAGCTTATCTACGGAAATGCAAAGTACCCCGCAATGAAAAGAACGTTTCAGTGTGACGATTTGATGACGCTGTATCGCAAGATATTTAACGAGATTACAGGAAGAAGCGTGTTCTTTGTCAGTGCAACAAGTCGTGTTAAATAGCCAGCCCGCATTATGCAATGTATCGTTTCGACTAATGACCGACATACGACATGGCATTTACATAATCGTCGACCGACGAGCGAAAAATTGTTACACCAATGCCTAACCAATTTCGCATCTGTTTAATTAGATCGCACTATGTAGAATAACTAATATATAATTATTAATTGTCGCGTGTAATTTCGCGATATTGTCGACTGTTCACTAAATATAAATTATTGCGCAATAAATCGTTAGAATGACGTTTGTCGCATGCGTTTTGGATCTGATTCTGAGCGGAGACAAAAGATAAAGAAGAGTCGAAAGCAACAAATAAATAAACGAACCAACTAATTAATAAATCATTTAATATAAAGATTTATAGATTTAAAATTTGATCTAATACAGAAATACACCATTCGATAAGTAGATAAATTTATAAATTTTAAATTGAATCTAAGAAAATTTAAATCTTATGCATGAATTTTTATATTTGATCTAATAAACCTAAACATAAATAAATCTGGTGCAAAACACGCGATTACTCAATTTCATTAAAGCATCTCATTCCATCAAATTAAAGTAGGTAGATAGTGCTATGTACCTATTCATCGTCCGACCAAATTTTAATCTTTCATGCAAATGTAATCACTTTTTGAATTAAAACCAGTCATAGCTTTGACGAAGAGCAAAAGACCATTCAATGCATTCCTCGTTTTACGAGCGCGTAAAATCCCACGTTTCTTTATTTAAAGACACCAGTGAATTGAACCAAGAAAAACACCAGTGATAAAAGATTAAGCAAAACAAATTATTTAGCTAAATCTATATCAGCTTCGTCAGAAAATTACTTTCGTTCAAATGAAATCGTCAACAAAGTCTGAGAAATGATGAAATTCAAAATAAATTCTGCACGACCTAAATTCACATCTGCCAAGATACATTTGAATCTGCAGAATTTTCGAGATTATTTTCTATCGATGAGAGTTATCGAGGGGAAGAACGCGTTTCCCC